CTTGTTGGCACTATCGTGGGGCTGTCTTGGAGCCGTCTGGGACCGTGAGGGGGCCGCCTTGGAGTCGTCTTGGGCCCCTCCTGTGCGCCTCCTTGGGCCGTCCTGGGCCCAGCTGGGGCCGTGTTGGCACCCTATTGGGGCTGTCTTGGAGCCGTCTTGAGCCGTCGCAGCGCGCCTTGGGTTGTGCTGGGTCCGTCTTGGCCCGTCTTGGGGCCTTCCTGGGCGTTTCCTCGGACACTCCTGGGATTTTCTGGGGCCTCTTGGTGCATCGGACCGCCGAAATGGCCGGAAACGCAAAAGGTGTAACAGTAAACAATGGAAAATAAACGATTTTTGCCAGCTGGGGCTCTCTTGCCATCTTAGCCCGTCTTGAGGCCCCGACCGAGCGCGTCCTTGGGCCGTCCTGGGCCCCCCCTCCTGGGACCGTCTTGGAGTCGTCCTGGGCCGTCTTGAGCGCGCCTTGGGCCGTCCTGGGCCCGTCTGGGGCCGTGTTGGCACCCTCGCGGCGAGGAAGCTCGGAGGCCGGCTCGAGGCCTCTTTGGGGCCATTTGGGAAGCTGTTGGGGCCTCTGTTGGGGCCTCTTTGGGCTCCTTCGGAGCCCCCTGGGGCCTCTTCGGTGGATTCTTGGCGGCCCCTTGGGGCCTCTTGGGGGCCTGTTTGGGCCTCCTGGCGCCCTCTTGGGGCGGAAGGCTCGGATTTTCGGTCCGTGGTCCCCCTCTTGGCCCCCTCTTGGACCTGTCTTCGGGCCCTCGTGGGCCGTCTTGAGCGTCTCTTGGGTCGTCTTGGGGCCCTCTTGGGCTGTCTTGGGCCGCTCTTGGAGGCCTCTTGGTCCGTTCTGGGGCGCTCTTGGAGGCCTCTTGGGCCGTCTTCGAGCGTCGGAAAGTGGAAAAGGCGAGAAGGCCAAAATCCTTCCAAAACCGTCGTAAAGTAGATGATTTTGGCCGCTCGGGGCCCTCGGGGAATACGCTTGCAGGCCTCTTGTGCCGTCTAAGCGGCCTCTTGGAGCGCTCTTTGGGCGTCTCGGGGGCTCCTTGAGCTGTCTTGGGGGCCTCTTGGGGCCTCTGGAGCCTCTCCGGAGCCGCCCGGGGCGCCTTTAAACCCCGCCGTGACAAATCCACGGGTTCCCTAGTCATTTGGGTGGATTTCCTTCCGGCACGCGGTTCCTCCGGCCATATAGTATAGACTAGGGCTGACCCGCGGCCTTCTGGCCGCAGAATCTGCCCGCCATGGCGTGGACGTGTAAATGGAGCGTCTCCGGGGCCTCGCGGGGGGGGAGGTTGGAGGGGACGGTGTGGATGGAGGAAGTGGCCGCTGAAGGGGGAGGTGGGCGAGGGATGCGGGCAAGCAGGCCTGAAGGCAGGAACGCATGTAGGCACAACGTGGTGTGGACAGAAGCTGTTGACTGTTTCTCACGCCGCACTCTGTGTTCATCATAGCTGTTGTGGGGCGGGTCGCGGTGGTCATTTTATCTGCTCTTACCTGGGGCCGCGTAATATACGACCCAAGAGGCCCTCAAGAGGGCGCCGAGACGGCCCGCACGGGGGCCGCTCAGGCGCCCGGTGCACGGGAGGATCACCGATAGGACGCTGGAGAAACTGTCAAGTAACTGTCACTTTGGTTTACTGGGGCTGCGCGTTAGGAGCCTTCTCGGAGTGTCTGGACACTCTTGGGGCCTTCTTCGGGGCATGCTCGGGACATCTTGTGGCTCCTAATATCGGCTTTTGGACCATTTTGGCCGCCCTCCTCGTCCTCCCCTGGATCGGTCATCCAGTCGATCTTCTTTAGGAGCCATCTCGGTGTGTCTGGACCGTCTTGGGGCCTCCTTCAGGTCATGCTCGGGACATCTCGGTGGCTTCTGTCGGCGTTGGGGGCCATTTGAGGTGTTCTCCTCCTCCTCCCCTCGATCCTTCATCCCGTCGATCTTCTCGTCAGTCGTCGACGCTCCCCAAGAGACAAGCAGTGAAGGCCTCATGGGGTCCGTTTGGAAGCATCTTTTCGTCCTCCTGGGGATCTCTCGGGCCCTCTTGGGCCGTCTTGGATGCATCTTGGGCCGCCTTGGAGCGATCCGGGGCCGTCTTGGGCACCTCTGGGGTCATCTTGTGGCCGTCTTGGGGCCGTCTTGGGCCGTTCTTGAAAGCTCTTGGGGCTGTCTTGGTTACATCTGGGGCCGTCTAGGGCGTCTCTGGAGCCGTCGCGGGGCCGCCTCGGGCCGTTTGGGGGCCCTCCTGGGGTGCTCTGGGGGCGTCTTGGGGCGATCGGGAAGGCCTGTATAGCCGTCTTGGACGCGGTGAAGACGACAAAAAAGAGCATATCAAAAATGCACGTTTTCCGAAGCGAATGTGGCAATTTTTGCCTCTTGGGTCCCTCTTGGGGGTCCTCCTGGGCCGCCTTGGGAGCCTCCTGGCCTGCCTTGGAGGCCTCTGGGGCCGACCTGGGGCTCGGTTGGGTCCCTCTTGGTCTGTCCGGTCGCCCTCGTGGGCGTCTCTGAGCCGTCTCGGAGCGGCCCAGGGGCTCGCAGGGCGGCCTGGAGAGCCCGGCGGACATTTCAGGGCCGTCTGGGAAGCCTCAGGGCCTTCAGGGAAAGTCGCCACCGTGGGGCCGTCTAGGAAGTCTCATGGCCTTCGGTCGGACAAGAACGGGAGCGCCGCTGTAATCTAATGGGCGTATTGGGCGAAGAAGAAAAGGAAGGCGAGGACAACGAGGAGTCGATGACGAGGACGACGTGGCGAACGTGAGGATATCGAGGAGGAGCACGAGGACAACGAGGAGAAAGAAAAGCACAAGGACGAGGACGAAGAGAACGAGGGCGAGTACGAGGAGGAATGCGGAGGGCGATGATGACGACGACGACGACGACGACGACGACGACGACGACAGAGGACAGTACGAGGCAATTGGAAAAAGACGTTGCTCCTGGCGCCGCGCGGGGTTCTCTTGGGGCCTGTTGGGGGTTTCTTGGGGGCCCCTTGGGTCCTCTTATAGGCTTCTGGGGTCTTCTTGGGCTGTCTGGGCGCGTCGTGGGGTTTTGTGGGAACTTTCTCAGGCCGTCTCGGCGCCATCTTGGCCTCCCGGGGCGCTGCCGTGAGTCTCTTGGGACCTTCTTGGCCCTTCTCAGGCCGTCTTGGGGTTCTTGTGAGCCGTCTGGGTGGTTCCTAAAGCGCTCTTGGGGGTCTCTTGGGGTCTTCTTGGGGTGTTCTTGGGCGCTCCTGGGGCTCTCCTGGGCGTCTTTTGGGCCTCCCTTGGGCCGTTGGAAAACCCTCCAAGAGCGATTCGAACACGACGTCGATGCGGAGTCCCCTCTTGGGCCAATTGTTGGAGGATGTCTCGAGCGAAACTGCCATGTTTCAGAAACCTTTCTTGACATGAACGGGAAGCGCGTGAAATGGAAGAGCTTGGCAAGAACGTGCACCAACATTAAAGTCACATGTCACGTAGGCGCTCTTCCCAAACGTTCACAGGGGGTACCAGGTGGAGTTCACTACCCGCGCAAGTTCAGACGTGGCGCTCACCCCGAACGTCAACAAAATGTACCAGATGGAGTTCACGACCCGCGCAAGTTCAGACGTGCCGCTCACCCACAACGTCCCCAAAAGGACCAGATAGAGTTCACTACCCGCGCAAGTTCAGACGTGGCGCTCACCCCGAACGTCAACAAAATGTACCAGATGGAGTTCACGACCCGCGCGAGTTCAGACGTGCCGCTCACCCCGCACGTCCACCAAAGGCACCAGGTGGAGTTCCTTACCCGCGCGAGTTCAGAATTGGCGCTGACACCCACGGCGAGATCATGATCAGCATCACCGTCGTCATCATCATCGTCATCATCATCACGAGTGTGGGCGGAGGGGGACATTCTTTGCAGTGGGCGGAGGGGGACATTCTTTGCAGCAGACGCAGCACGGCTTGCTCTGACGGTTTAAAAGGGGCTTAAAATCACACGATTGCGCAATCTGCGGACCTTGTCCGTTTCAAGACACACCCTTACCCATATCATGTTCTGGGCGGGTGGGTGGGGCACCAACGACTCAGAAGTTGGCCTATGTGGAGACAAAACTGGGGAGGGTAAGCAGACGCGACCTTGGACCACAGCTGTTTGTTGTCCGGGGTGCGTCCTGCGATCTCAGTGCGAGGCTGGCCAGAGAACGAACAGTGCCCTCCCCTCCCCGCGCAACGGGCCCCAGCGAGCTCCTCCAGAGGCAGGTGGGAGAACAACAGGGTCGTGCGCGTTCTGTACGGTGTGCCGAAAGCACAGTAGTCTATCTGGACAGAGTTATACTTATCAAGCGTTTAAACCCCGGGAGCTCCCACAACACGCTTGAGGCGGGATTCTCGATTACGCAAGGCACGCCTAGACACGAGAGGGCGTCGAAAAGTTTGGCGGCCCACTTAGCTTGCGTTGCCTTCCTGGACCTTCCGAAAATCACTGGGGGGAAGGTCGGGGAGGCCAAGTAGGTGCTCACGGTCCCGAATCGGTGCTGGCCAGCCTTTTTTGCCCGACCGGTTCCGTCTAGCGCGGGACCAGGACGTGCACACAAGGCCAATCCATACATAGCAAGAACATTATGGGAGGCAGCATCGACCAAGCGCCTCGAGACATCTCTATGCAAGCAGTCCTCCAGCGGGGAATCGGCCAGCTCCCAGCTGCGCGTGAAGAAGCCCACGCTTTTGCAGGCAGTGCTAATGCCACGACTGCCTGCCATCAGCTCTGCCACGACCCAACCTGGCCGAGGGACAGTCGGGGCGAGGATGAGGCCGCCACGCGGGCCCAGTCACCCCAGGCCGAAAAAGAGCAGGCACGATTCACTTGGGGATGGTCTCCGCGGCGACGGTCCGCGCGAACAACGACCCCATCACCTCGAACATCTGGCGGCCGAAGTCCCTCGAGGCAGGGGTCATGGCATTGAGGAGTTGGTGCACTTCTCTGGGTTTCCCGCACCTGTTCAGGGACGAGTCTGTCCTCAAATGCCCCCGACCCTTCACGGTCTTCCGATCCCGCCGGCCTGACAGGATGTCGCCCGACGCCCCCCCGTGTCGCAGCTGGTAGAGGCAGACCCGGGGGAGGCCGCACTTCCTGGCCGCGACTCCGAACTGGGCCGCCACGAACGCGCCGGGGGTGGGGAAGATCAGGTCGGTCGGCGCCCTCCCGCGAACATGGGCTGCCAGGCACTCGCCGAGCCAGACTGGGTGGTCTATGATCACGGTCTCGTCCGAGGTGCCTGTCTTGGTGAGCTCTCGATGGGAGCCCCTCGGATCGCCTGGCGCGCCCGCGTCCATCTGGGTCGGGGCGAGGATCAGGCCCCAGCACTGCAACTGTCCCGAGGCCCTCGAGGGGGCCAGCAGCTGCCGTACTTGTAGCTTCCGAAGGGCTCCTGGGCGGATGTAGGTGAAGAAGGTCGATGCCACCTGGAGCGCACAGTCCCTCTGCCCCCGCGCCAGCATCTCGGGCACGGCAGCACCGAGGAGTTCCCGAGGCACGGGGGCACGAGAGGCAGGGGGCCTGCGTTGTCGCCTCGAAGCCCTCGGTTCACACGCGGCATCGACTGAGGGCCTGTGCACCACGGGTAGGCGTCCTTGACCGCCGCGACCAGGATGGTCGCGTCGGCTCGGGTACACTCCGCCTCCAGCATGAGGTCGAGGAACTGCAGCACCCGAACCTCCATGTCCTCGATGGTCGACGGCACCCCCCCCTCCTCGGCGAGGAACACCTGAAACGCATCGGAGTACGCCCTGTAGCCGACGCGCGTCGCGTCGGCCGCCGCGGCCAGCACACCTGGAGAGCGCCATGGCCGAGGCGGGGCTGCTCCGGCTGGGCTCCAGGGCCTTGGCCAGCCGGGCGTGCAGCTGGGGCGGCGGCACCGGGGCGCGCGCCGCTGGCCGCACCCGCGCCGCGCGGGGGGCGGCACTGGCGGCGGGCTTGCGGCGTGCCGCTGGCCTCTTGGCCGGGGCCGCCCTGCCCACCAGGCCGCTCGGCCTGCGCGCCAGCGCCGCTGGCCTCTTGGCCGGGGCCGCCCTGTCCACCAGGCCGCTCGGCCTGCGCGCCAGCCCCTCGGCCACTGCGGCGGTCGCCAGGCGGCGCCTCTTGGGCCTTGGCCCCAAGGTCGGCACGGGCAGGCGGTCCGAGCTGCTCTGCGGCTCCTCCACGAAGGTGCCGCGCCCAGCCACGCTCAGCGGGCCCAGCATGTACCAGTGAGAGGCCCTCGAACGTCCTCGAGGCTTCGTCGGCTGGCTGCCATTCCGACGGGATCCACCGGAAGTGCGGCCCGATGTTGGTGGCCAGGGTTAGAGCGGCAAGGCGACGGTTGAGTTGTAACATACAGTATGACGGCGATCGGCCCCTATCGAAACAGCAGCAGACGCCGAAATTGTCGAGCAGGAATAAGTGACGATGATGATGGTGCGAAACGAGGCCGAGCGGAGCTAAGCCACGGGCCAGCGGGCGCCGCCGCCGGAGAAGCGGGCGCGCCGGCAGCGGGGCGCGCGCAAAGGCCGCAGACGCACCGAAGGAGCAGCAAAGGAGCAGCCGGTTCGCCAGCTTCCCGACCCGACACGCCCCCCCCCGCGGGCGGCCGCACGGCGCTTCCTCGAAGCGAAGACAGGCTGCAATGGGGCGCTGCGCCCGTCGACCTCGACGCCGGATTCCCCGGCAAGAACCACTCGCACCCTGGACGCGGGAGCCCGCGCTCTGGCACAGCCTCCGCGCAGACACCTCGATCTCCGAGGGGGGGGGGGGGAAGGGGAAGGGGGGGGGGGGGGGCGCCCCCCTGCCCGAAGCTGGCACGGTTCAACCGCGAACGAGAGGGGCCCGCCGAGGCGGCCGCTGCCTCGGCGATCTTGCGCAGCCGGGAAGAGGCCGCCAGCCCGCGCCCTCGACCTTGACGCGCCGGGAAGGGCCCAGCACGCAGGCGAGGATGGCTACGCGCTTCCGAAAGGCCAGATTGGTGCCGCCCCGCGGATGGCGCCCTCCGCCAGCGCCTGCCGCCCGGGATCGTCGAACTGTCCAGCTGGCACCTCGGCGCAGTAGGGGCGCGACCAGTCGGGCGCGCCCACGGGGCATCAGCCCCTCGTGGCGATCCGCCGACGGCACTGCTGGATTGCCGTCAGCAGGCAGTCGAGCCGGTCGATCTGGCCCAGTTCGTCGACCCCTGCCGGGGCGAATTCTCGCAGCCACTGGGCGGCCACCTGGGAAGCGGGGGCCTCTAACTCCGCCCAGCTCACCATGGTGACGGTCTCGCCGGCACCCCTAGCTGCGCGCGCCAGCCAGGGGCCCCCACCGCGCCCGCGGGAAGGGCGGCGTCGATCGCCCCACCTCCCGCGGCGAGACGGATTGCGGCGGCGACGGCGGCAGGTGAACGCAGCCGGGGCGACGGCCCCGGCGCGGCGCCCCCGACGGCGGCACCTCCGCAGCGGAGAGACGGCCTCGAACGCGAGGGCGCTCAGGGGCGCAGCGGCCAAGCCCTCCCCCGGCGGCGCGAGCTCCCCCATTCGGGGCCGCAGCACCATCTCCGACAGGGCGCGCGCCCGCCGCTGGCCCCTTCGCGCCGGGCACGAGGCGCCTGGCGGGGGCCGAAAGCGCCAACGAGGGCTGCAGTTCGGGCGGCGGCTGGCGGCGCCACGGCACGGCGGCGCCACGACGCGCCCGTCGGCCGCGGGCGGCGCCCCAGCCACGCGCGCGGGTGTCGATCCCGCAGACCGACGGCGCAGATCCTCGGCGTGGCCCACAGGCAACGGACTGCCGAGCCCGGAAGGAGACCTGGCCGCCGCCCTGGCCGCAGCCACCATGGCGCAGGGTCGCCCCGCGGGCAGGCTGAGGTCAGACTCGCAGCTGGCCTCGTCAACGGCACTACGGCCCTCGCAGCCCTCGCGGCGGCCCAGCCTCGACAAGCCATGATGGGGGGGCCCGATGGGAGGGGGGCCGACGGGGCGGCCCCTGGCGGGGTCGTCGGCGCGACGCACGTCGGCGGGGCGCGCAAACCCCAGGCACAGCCCCCAATAACGCGCGACAGCGCAGTGCAGAGGGGGCGCGATTCCAAGTGCCACCGTAGCCTCGAAGCACTGGGATGCGAGCATCAGACAGCCGAACACGACAGCACTTGCGAAAGCTCCCATGCATCCTATTCTCCAACATTCCGATATGGCGAAAGACCCTGAACTTCTATTTGCACGATCGGCGAAAGCTCAGTGCTTCGGACAGCTCGTCGACCCAGCGCGGCGCGACGGGGGGCTCGAGAGAGGTGGGCGCTAGATCGCGGCGCGCCCAGGCGAGCTCGCGGCCTGGCGGGGCGCCTCGGCACCGGACTGCAGGCCGCCCCCCGCCGCGCAGCGCGGCGCGCCAGCCACCGCGCCCCGACCCGCGCCAAAACTCAGCGGACAGTTGCGCGCCGAGCGCGGACGACTCCACCCCACAGCTGAAGGGCGCGTCCGTCACGAACACCTCGTGGCAGCGAGCTGCCCCGCTGCCAGCAGCGGCCGCGATGGCCAGACAGGCGCAGGGGGGGCGCTCGCCACGCACCGAGCGCGGCAGCTCACGCTCGGACCCGCCCTCGGTGGCGAGGCGCGACAAGAACGCAGGGGACGCGGGCAAACAAGGACAGCAGAGCGCGACAGCACAAAAGAACCTGCCCCCAACATCCAACAAGCGACGCCAAGAGGGCGCGCGTTCAGTAGCCGATGTAGATCTGAATACGAGTAAGTCACATAGCGCCGCCGCGCGAACAAGCTGAGCACAGACAATCCCGATCCGACCCTCTATCTCGGCGCCCACCGCAACCTCACGAGTCGCGCTGCGAGCGCGCCCCAGGGCGCTGCACCGAGCCTACTCGAAGATGCCCGCGATCGCGCGCCGCGAAGACCTCGCGGCCACGACGACTGGGATCGCCGGGGCTGGGAGCGGGGCCATGGATAGACAAACGCTGGAAGCCCGCGCCATCGATATTCCGCATCTCGGCACGGGGGCCCATCGGGAAAGACGAGCGGCACACAGCTTGCTCACGGGGGCGGAGGGCCCCGAAGCAGCGCAACACACCATCGAGCGCTGCGCCAGCAATGCGCACTGCCGCGCTGTCGCCCATGGCCAGAGAACTCAGACATGAGGCGGCATTCAGACCTTCAAGCTCGGGCCACCAGGCGCGACAGGCCTGGGAGCGACCCCCATGGAGGCGCACGCGGACTACGCTCAGCTTTGCGCGAGCGGGAGGGGCGCGGATCGGGCAGCAAAGCTCCTAGAAGTCATCGCAAGAGACAGCCAGCCATTCCCCCATATGAAGCGACCAGAAGCGAAATCGCTACTGTCGCTACCTCGGCGGGGTCAAGAAGAGACCTCTGCGCCTGCGAACACGGCCAGTTGGGCCCAGCCAACACTTCACCGCACTCGCGCACACGGGGCACCCTCGCATTCAACCGTCGCCTCTCCATGAAAGCGACTTACGCGGCACGGGTTCCACCCGGCAAAGGGTTCCACCCGGCAAACCTCGGGCGGGAACAGAATGACCCGCCGATAAAGGCCAGCCTCGCCACGCGCGTCGCTCTCGCCTCCCTGCCCAGCGCGCGGCGACCACGCTGAACACCCCGATGGAAATGCTCGCCACTCATAGGTCACCATCGCCCACTGCGCAATCAGCCTCCGCCTTCGCTTTCGGGGTGGGGCGCCCAGCGGCTTTATCTCGAATTAAGCTTCGCCTCCGCCAGCTGCACGTCGGCCGCCGTTTCCTCGCGCGCCCCGTCGGCCGCGAAGGTCCGCAGAGCGAGGCTGCCCACTGTTCCCTTCGGTTGTAGCCGGAGAACTTGTCTGCATTCTCATAGCTAGGACTGTTGGGACATTCGCGCGAGCCTCCAGGATGGCCCGTCAACCCCCGCCAGGACGCTCGAGGCAGGCGATGGAGGCCGCGTCCAGCTGGTCATAGACGATAGCCGGTTCAAAGACCTCAGCCATGACCCGCATCTCGCGGATAGAGCGACCGTTATCCGCCCAGCCCGCTGTCTCGCGGCGGCGTTCCATTCGCGGCGCAGGGACCGCAGCCAACTGAGCGAAAGAGTCCATCCGACATCCGACATTACGCGGACCATCGAGCGGCCAGTCGGGGATAAAAAAAACAACAACACAAAAAAACGACCAACTCCTTCACCGCCTCGACCCAGACACGCTTTCGTCGCCATGGCCCTTTGTTTTTCACCACCGACGTTCTCACATCATCCTCCCCGCCACGTCTGTCCTCGTCGGTCTGCTCGATCGGGCCCAAACGAAGCCCCGCCACAGCTCCCTTAGGAGCGGCCGTGGAAGTGGGAGGCGACTCACATCTGTCAGCCTCAGGTGCGTCGATTCCCGCCACGATACCCATGGGGAGAAGCCGGCCTCGATCCGAAGGGTATCGTTCAAAGTCCACTGTCCAGAACAAACTCCAACGCACCGATCACACCCCCAAAATTGGCCAGACTTCGATTTCCGAACCAGCTTAAAAAATGAAGGAACTTGGACTTCTTGTCCAACTCGCGCCACCTCCCCGTCACAGTCGAACATTGGCTCCGGAACGACCCAGCACGGGCCGTCGGGCAACTCGGGCGACCCAGGAACGGCGTCGCCCTTGTCCGACGGACCTGCCGCGGGGAAAGGAAGACCGAGACCAGCCGCACCTGCATCGTCGCGTGAATCTCCTGGCCCATCGGGGCGGGAAGGAGCTCGCAGGGCTCGAGCCACACCATCATGACCCTGCAGTCGTGAATGACGCACCTCCGTCAGGCCCCCGGACTCGATGAGCGCCTTGGCCTCGTCACGAAGCTCCGAGAA